TTAGGTCACTGATACGGACAGTTTCTCCTGCGGAGTTCAAACATTCAGGCTATTGGGAAGGTTGGGCAGGTTTTCAAATTCTCCTGAGAATGAGCATTCAGCCAGAGGACGATGGCTAACGAAAGGCACCCACTCCACGGCTCACCGAGTCTCTGTTCTGTCAGACATTCTTCCCAGCGCAAGGAAAGCCAACGATCCTGTTGTTGTTGTTGTTGTATGTGGTGGAGTCGACCCAGGAATGGAACGGAATGGAATCCCTCCCAGAGATTGTCCCAGGCTGCAACTCTCCTGAAAGCAGACTTTCTCCTGCTGAGCGTTTAAACACTGTGCCACCAGGGCTCCTTAATGCTGGTCCAGGTAGGCAGAAGCTTGAGAGGCCTTGCGATGACTTTACAAGTATGTTGTTGTCGTTAGTGCCAAGTCTGTTGGACTCAGCAACCCACAGGTCAGAGCAGCATTGCTCCACAGTTTCTGCGGCCGCATACCTTTACGGAAGCAGACAGCCTCATCTTTCTCCCAGAGCAGCTGGTGGGTTCAAACTGCCAACCTTTCCATTGGCAGCCCAGCACTTAGCCCACAGTACCACCAGGGTGCCTGGTATAATCACTCAAAAAGAAATGACTAAAAAGTTACATGAATTCTACTAACAAGCGACAAGGTTTCACCATTTCAGAGACTTTCGGGATGAGTGAAAATGAATTCTGGGCCCAGCATCCACACTATGTTGTTGTCACGAGAGCTGTCAAGTCCGTTCTGACTCACGCTGCTGTGAAGTGTACACCGACCTTGTAGTCGAGTGCTTATCCTACAGCCCCACACCAGGCTTCCTCACCAGCATGGGGCAGAGTTCACAGGATTCAGTTACCTCCAAGCAGGCAGTCCCGGGAGCCAGGCTCCCAGCTCTCAGGAGGGTGGGGCGCTGTCACAGGTGTGGAGGCCATTATGGAAAATAAAACAAACACAACGGAAAGCTGGCAACTAGAGCCAAGTGTTCCAATGGCTTCAAAACAATGACAAGTGGTTTTCATTGTCTACTTTTCAGCATTCTCCAATGACCATGTCACTTTCGTAACCGACAGGACAGTCTATTCTTTCTGAGAAGGCAGATTAGGACATGGTGACATCCACCTGTGGGGACCAGTCCCTGTGGACTCCAGGACGGGGGCCAGGCTACTGGTTCAGGCACCTGTGCTGCTTGGCTCACTCCCACTCCCTGCGGCCCTATCTGAGGGTCCTCCTGGGACCCCGGTCCTTTGGGAGGCAGCCCTTGTAACACAGGATAAAGGAGAGGCCGCTCCTGCGTGACTTGCAACAACCTTGAGCTGGACAAGGTGCCGTGGACTCAGCCTGTCCGCCTCTCTTGGTGGACTCTGAATCTAGTGAGCAAAGAGAGCGTCTCCCTATGATAAAGTCCGGCCCTGGTGCACGAGTCCCCTCTGTGGACACCTGCTTGTACCACCCTGCCCCTGGCTGAAGGTTAGTATGTACGGTAGTAACCTTCAGCTTTCTAAAGTAACAACAGTGTTATATGTTTTGTGCACTATAGATGCAGTACACTTTCTAACCCAAAACCCACATGGATGAACCTCAGCGGCCAAAAAATGTTAAGCTCCTTGTTGCCGAAGTCTCAGGAGTCTAAGACCAGAAGCCATACAGAGGGGATGGGAGACAGAAACCAGGGGAGTCTTTCTCTCAACGTTAAGTTCTGCTGACTGTCTTATTTATCTGTCAGTCCTGTGCCTCCCCTCCCATTTTCAGTTACAGTAAACAAGCCAAAGCAAACTCACAAACCAAAGACTCACAACTTGACACGTAGCAATCCACAACTGGGTGTCTTACTCACGGCCACCCTAGCCAGGTGCAGGGTACACACCAGAGCCGCAGGAAGTCGGGAAGACAAAGGGGTCCTGAGCATGAGGAAGACGATGGTCTGATACAGGTGGCAGTGTGCCACCAAGACACTGAGCCGACTCCACCTCCTAGGTACCCAGAGGGCAGCCTAGAACTAGTGTACTAGGGCTTCCAGATGGTCAGGCTTTACAGGACCACACAGCCTCAGCTTTCTCCCGAGGGGTGGCTGGTGGGTTTGAACCAACCTTGTGATTACTGGCCCATAGCGTAGTGGTTACGAATCGGGCTGCGAACCTTAAGGTCAGCGGTTCGAAACTACCAGCCGCTCCGCGGGAGAAAGATGAGGCTTTCTACTCCCGTAAAGATTTACACCCTTGGAAACCCTGTACAGGGTCGCTATGGGTCGGAACCGACTCAACGGCACTTAACAACAACAACAACAACAACCTATCGCACTAAAGATGACAAAGCAGAGCTGTCTCACACCATTTCCTAGCTGCAAATGCTGAGGAAGCAGCCAGCCAGCCCTTTCTTCTGCAGCATCAATGTTGTTGTTAAGTGCCATCTAGTCAACACAGACCCAGAGTGACGCTGCATGGAGTTTCCAAGGAACAGCTAGTGAGCAACATCAATGGGTAGATTCAAACTGCTGACCTTTAGGTCAAGCATTGGAAAACTGAAGATGCAGGTAGCGCAGTGGTTACGAATCGGGCTGCTAATCTAACGGTCAGCAGTTTGAAACTACCAGCTGTTCCGCAGGAGAGAGATGAGGCTTTCTGCTCCCATAAAGATTTACAGCCTCGGAAACCCTGTATAGGGTCGCTATGGGTCAGAACCGACTCTACGGCACATCACCAGCACAACTTCTCGAGGGAGGAGAATCAGGATCAATATCAACTCAAGGTAGATGCCTAGAAGGTGGAGATCAAACACACCTCCACTCAGCCGACTTTTTACCAATTCTGGAGCCAGCTGCCCCTCCCGCAGCGCTCTCTACTTCTCCGCTGGGCTTGATCACGTGTTGCAGGGATCACCAAGAGCTCACAAACTTCACAATCACGGCACGGAGTTTATTAGGAAGTGTTGTTGCTGAGTGCCACTGAATGGGTTCCAACCCATAACGACCCCATATAGGGTTTCTGAGGAGCGGCAGGTGAGTTTGAATTGCCAACCTTGTGGTGAAACTGACTTTGTAGTCGAGTGCTTATCCAACAGCGCCACCCCAGGAAAGTAACAGGCTACAGTTTAGGAACTCGTCTCCCTAACCCTGAGCCAAACTTCCTTCCTCAGCACTGTTTCTCCTCCGGGGTCAAGAGTCAGTGCAATGGCCACACAGAACTCAACCACCACTCGAGGGAACGGTTTAGTAGGGAAGTCTGCAGGTGGGATCCGGGTTAGAAACGCTCAGGGCTCAGCTCTTCAGTCAGGACAGCCTCGCCTTAGCGCTGCCCTCCGCCCAGCTCTGTTAGGGCTGCTGATGAATGTCCACAGGACACACCACTCCACCACATACGTCAGCCTGAAGGCACGGGCTCAAGCTCACAGGGTCAGCAAACCTACCCCCCAGCCCAATTAAGTACCTGGAGACTCCCCACGTTTCAAGCAAGCCTCTAGTGAGAACAAGTGTTAACAGCTCTTAAAGCACTTACTCCTCCAGAAAGTGGCTGAAAGCCCCCTACTCTGCCTTAAGCCCCTGCCTGAAGGCACTGAGCTCTCAGTCCATGGGTGGGCAAGCCTACTACAACCACCGAGGACTGGTCTCCTGCTGCTGGTTCCCTGCCACTCCCTGGCCATCTGACTCCATCTCCACCGATACCTCTCTCCTCCCTGTCTTCTGGTCTAGGGGGGGTTCTCAGCACGGAGACCCTGGGTCCAACAGCACCCTCCACTCTCAGCTCTTCTGCTTGACTCACCGACCTCCTCAACGTTCTAGACACCTACTTACATGGCCCCACTCCCCACAGAGGTGTCATGCATCTTATTTGCTGTGTGGCGCTGTAAGATAAGCATTCAACCATATAATCAGTTTTCATCTCAAGGTCAGTGGTTCAAACCCACCAGTCACTCCTTGGAACCACCTTGATGACACTTAACAACCTAAGCGTGATGGCTCTGTAGTTGATAAGCACTGGACTGTGGACTGCAAGGTGGGTGGCTTGTGCCCACTATCGGCTCCCCAGGAGAAAAATGAGATTTTTATTTTCCCACAAAGATTTACAGCCCCAGAAACGTGACACTGTCACTATGTGGAACCAACTTGACAGAACATAGCCACCATCACCACAGAGGACTCCTAGTGAGGCTCCATAGGATAAGCACTGGACTGCTAACCACAAGGTCAGTGGTTCAAACCCACCAGCTGCTTCTCAGAAACAGGGTCACTGTGAGTCAGAACCGACTCAACAGCACTAACAAGATCATGGCGGAATATAAAAGCGATCCGTCACAATGTGGGTTAACGCGCTGGACTGCAAAGTCGATTTGAACCTCAACGTCGGCAGTTCAAGCTCTCCTGCCATTCCTTGGAAACCCTATATATTGTCACTATAGCTCAGGAATCCTGGTGTGGCGCTATGGGCTAATGCGTCAGACTGCAAAAGTCACTTGAACTCCAAGGTCGGTGGTTCAAGCTCACCAGCTGCTCCTTGGAAACCCTACACAAAGTCGCTATGGGTCAGAATCGACTTTACGGCACTTAACAACAACATAGGTCAGAACCACCTCGACGGCACTTAACAACATCACAATGCACCACGCAGAGACCACTCCAGCCTCCCCAATCTAAAGCCAGATCTCCTGAGACTGGCCTGCCCCACCACCCACTCACACCACTCCTAGGCTACAACAGGACGGCCCCCGACCCCTAGCCGCCTTAGCCTTAGACAAGAACAACGCTGGCCCTCCAGGTACCATGGGCAGAAGCAGGCCCCGCTCCAAGCCCCCAAAGTGTCCTCCCACGTCATTATTTCATAAACGGGAGTTACCCTCTACCCCTCATCAGGAAGAACTCGCCCCCAAAACCTATGTCAGCTCGGAATGGGGATGGGTGAGCCCCAGACCACGAGCCCTCGCGTAGCCAGACCCCTGACCACTCGCCTCGCCCAGCGGCCTCGGCCCGCCGCCCGCACTCAAGCACCCGGGGCCCTGACCTTGCCGTAGCTCGGGGTCGTCCAGCACGTTGTAGGCCGCGTAGTCGCGCACGCCGTGCAGCCGCAGGATCTGCACCACGGCGTTGCTGAAGCCACACTGGGGCTGCTCCGGCGTCCCCTTGATGAAGACCACCACCTTGTCCTTCTTCACCAGCGCGTCCAGCTGCTCCGCTGAGCGGCCGCCGGTGTCCGAACCCGCCGCCCGCACGCCCGGGACCAGCAGGCCACCGCCGCTCGCACCGCGCCCCCAGCGGAGCAGAGCCGCCGACACTCGGCCCAGAGAGCCGCTCATCCCCGCTCGCTGGCCGGAGCGCTCGACGGCCGGCCCTCCGCTCAGCACCCGAGTGAGTCTGCCAATCACGTCACTCGTCCTGCCCCGACAGCTCGGAGGAGGTCCAGACGGCTGGGCCTCACCCCACAGCCTTTCTATTGGCTGTCGGCATGCGCTTTGTCAGATAATTGGAGGAACTAAATGTCCATCACACTCACGCTCCGAGGCTAAGAGAAGCGGAACAAGAGGCAAGATGACTTCCGTCCAAGAGCAGCCGGGCCTGCTGGGATACATCTGGACGCCTGAGAGCGACGCTTGGCCGAGTTTCACCGTTCCGCGGGACGCCGGGAAGAGGTCATATCCCAGAGGAAGGTTCCGGTTCCGGTGTTGGTGGCCATTTAGTTGCTATGACGACACGATTGGCGGCCGGGCCTGCTCCGGACCGCTGGAATAGCGGCGCGTCTGAGCAGGCCCGGGTCGCCGCTCCCAGCCGAGGTGAGTGGCAGAGGGGATCGAGGAGGGTCTCGTGGCTGCGGCGTGCGGCGCGCGCAGTTTCCTCTAAAACAACTCTTGCCTTCCGGAGTGCGTAAAGCGCTTGAATGGGGAATTGGGAAACAAACGTTTCCTGCACGTCCGGCCTGGCCCCGGCACAGATCTCCGCGGAGCCGCGGAGCTTGAAGTAGATCGAGCACGTGGGGTGCCGAGGACTGACAATCAGCCTCCTGGGACCCCTCATTTGCTCTGTGGTGCAGGTTGATTGTTCCTGGTTTGGTGATTTGCAGTGCGTGGGGCGGGGTAGGGGCTCCCTAGATCCGGGAACCCGCCTTCCGATCTGCAGTCCTGGAAGCATCCTGGGTTGCTGGTACCCTGGGTACCCCAGACTCGCAGAGAAAGCATAACTCCGGAGGAAGCTGAGGCATGCCTGCTCGAAGGTCAGCAGTTCCATGTGCAATGTTCCTCGGATAGCCACTGGTACTGTTCCCACGGTGATAATGACTGCGCCGTGTCATTATCGATCCACCAACAGTCAGAGAAACTTTGCAGTCGAGATATTGTTTAGCAGATGCAGTGGTTTCTGTTGGACACTAAGTACTGCTACAAACGGCCTTAAAGAAAGAAAGAAAAGGCTCAAATGATTTTTGTTTTCTTTTAATGGTTGCTGGACAATGTATATTTGGTTTCTCATTAAGACAAACTCTTGGGAACTTTCCCACAAAAGAAAAAAGTTAAAGGAAAGAAAGGGAGGGAAGGTGGGGAGAAAGGGGGGTCGGTAAAAAAAAACGGAAATGGAGAGTGGTGGGTGGTATATAGCTGGATTGTATATAGAAAAACGGTTGAAATGATAACTGTTCTGTTGTATATGTTGTTGTTGTTGTTATGTGCCGTGGAGTCGGTTCCGACTCATAGCGACCCTGTACAGGGTTTCCGAGGCTGTAAATCTTTACGGGAACAGACTGCCTCATCTTTCTCCGGTGGAGCGGCTGGTAGTTTAGAACTGCTGACCTTAAGGTTCGCAGCCTGATTCGTAACCACTACGCTACCAGAGACCCTTTTCTGTTGTATATAGCAACACAATAAATTAATATTTGAAGTCAAGTACTTATAGAGGGTTGCCATTGATACCTTGGGGGTATCAGCAGGTGAACCTTCAAAGTGTTCATTCAGCCTGGAAGTTGAACCTCTAAATATCAACTGAGGCGATTACCCAAAAGTGCTCCTCAGGGACCCATAAAGGAGCTTCAGAAAGTTCAAAGAAAAGTCATTATTTCTCATCCCATTTTTCCACCAACTCCTAGAAGTCCCCCCAGTGTTTTCACCCCATCATTTTTGCTCATTTTCTAACCTGAGGTCCAATGTTGGTCAGGTTCTTAAAGCATCTTTTTTGTTTTTCAGATTCACTGATTCCAGGTAAATGCGAGATGCAAGCAACAGGAACAGAAATAGACAGGAGATGCTGTTCAGCACAAGTCCAGTAGTCTGGGCCACTGAACAAGAGAGACTTGGTTGCATGAGTCTCCAACTCACTTAACTTTCATTTATGCTTAGGCTGTCGATTGTAAGTTTTTAATTTGTTTGCTTTGTAATAAATGTTGGTGGTGTGTTGCTGAAAACCTGGGTTCTTGCCTACGCTAAAGGTTCTCATTCTGCTTTTGTGCTGACTGGAAGGGAAAGAATAATTTGGAAACTGACATTGTTGTGTACCCGAGATTGGCAGCAGTGATGGGAAGCAAAGCCTCCATACCCCTTAAGGAGCAGTTCAGCCCTGCCCTGTAGGGTTGCTGTCAGTGAGGATCAGAGAGCCCTTTGATTGTGGTTTGGGTAGTCCACATGGTTAACACACTTGATAACCAACTGAAAGTGTACAGGCTCGATGCCACCCATAGACACCACGGAAGAAAGACCTGGCAATCTACTTCCAAGAAAAACCAACCATTAGAAACCCACCCTGTGGGGGGCACACTTCTGTTCTGACACACGTGGGCATCCATAAGTCGGTGTCAACTCAATGCCAACTGGTTAAGTTTTCTTCGTTTTGTTTTAGTTCATAGTATTGACTTAGGCGTGCTGGTGGCACTATAGGATAAACATTAGCTTGCTAGCCACAAGGTCCACGGTTCAAGCCCACCAGCCGCTCAGAAGAAGAACATGAGACTTACTGTACCAGTTAAGAATTAACATTCTCAGAAACGCAGTCACTGTGAGTCAGAATTAACTCGACAACACAGCAACAAAATTTGGAAGTATAGTTGTTTTATGTAATTGTCAAATGTCCTGTTGAGAATCCAGCTGTCATTCAAGAGTAAGATGAATGCCAGAGCCAAAAAGTCCAGAAATTTGGTTTTGCAAATTACAGAGTTTCTAGGAATAATAGCACTAGGGGAACTTAGTGAAAGTATGTGGGTGTTCTTTCAGAAGTAAATGAGTGGATGGTTTGATGGCCAGAAAAGAAAGCATCCAAAGAAATGAAGTACTAGCTGATCTGTAAACATTCAATTCACAATAAAAAGTTTTTTAACATAAAAAAACACATGGAATCAACTCATCCTGCAGAATAGAACTTGTGAACATCAGTCACCACAACTCTGAGACCAGAAGAACTAGATGGTGCCCGGCTACCACTAGCAACACCTGAAAGGGAGCACATTAGAGGGTCCATATAGAGTGGGAGAAAATGTGGAACAAAACTCAAAATTACTATTAAAAAAAAAAAAAGCAGGCTTACTGGTCTAAAAGACGAGGAACCTTGAGACCATGGCCCTCGATCCACCTTCAGGTCTGGAAAGGAACTCACCCTTGTGGCCCAATTTTTAGCCAAGCAGTACAGAGGTATATGAGGGGACCCCAACACTAGTAAGGTATGCTCACTGTGGAATGGTCAATCACTCAAAATCAAAAGGGCAACATGTACCTCAGGACAACGTTGAGAAGGGCTGGGAAGGGGCTTGGAATGGAAACAGGAACCGCAGGGAGGAAGTGGGATAACTTGTTCCATGGAGGGGCTTGCAATCATTGAAATGAAACTGATTTGTTGAATGTAAAACCTTTGACCTTGTCTATAAACCTTCACTCAATTCACAATAAAAAGTCTAGACAAAAACAATGCTAAAAATGCAGGGCGATGTGGTCTACGATGAGCATATTACTTTCTGCCTTGGATTTAAAACTGCTCTTGGAGCATTGGTTCAGATAGCAACGATTGAAAGAAGGAAAAAAAAAAATGTTTTTTAAACAACCCAGAATTCAAAATAATGAAGGCAAAGCAACAAATTCTTAGTGTATGACTTAGCATTCTGGTTTTGAGGTTTCTTTTAAAATGGCCTATAATAGAAATAATCAACTATACTTCTGAAACACCTCTTAGAAATCTGCACTTGAGGCTCAAGCCTGGTTGTTTTGAACACAGAAGTCCATTGTATATCAGTTTGATTTCTCCCTTGGGGAGGCTGGTGGAAAGTACATAGAAACTTCTGGAAAACCCTGGGGTTTTGGTCACAAAATGTAATTAAACCCCAAACTCAATTATTATGCCATGTAAACATGCTGACTCAGACAACCTAAAAGTGTTTCTTCCCTGCAGCATGTTCCTAGAAAAGACTTCACTATATTTGGTAAAACTCCCCTTTTCTACCCACATCTCTAAAAGCAAATCCCCCACTGAATCCACAGTGAACACTTGGCTAATTTGAGCTCACCTCTTCCTGTGTATCAGTCCTAACTGAAGAGTCAGAGTTGGGATTACCGGGCCTGCCATACAATGACTTTATCTGAACACACAGCCTTTCCGTGTCTCCATGCCCTAACTGCAGATGCAGGACGAGGCCCAGGTTGTCTGTGAGAACTCACACTACATAAATGCCTCAGTCCAAGCTGCCCAGAGCATTCTGTGTCATTTTTAGAAAAAGTCGAGACAGGGCCACCAAACATTGCTAAGCAAAACTAACATCTGGGACCCTGAGTTGGAGCTAGCATCCTTTCTCTGTGGTGGGCCGGACTATTGGTACCTAGTCATTTGAGCACATCACTGCAACCCTGGAGTCAATGGGACCCCCTAACTTCACCACACATTAAAGTTAGGTGTGAGGAACCAAGGCAAAGCCAGCCCTCTGAAAGACTCGAGCTGCTCCTCCCTGTCACAAAGCTGGAGCTGCCATTTGGTTTACCACTATCTGAACAAGACAGCTGGCTTCCTCAGAACTCTTCCAGGGATGGGAGTGGCCTCGGCTTTGCTAATCACAGAGCCCCACCTCACAGACACTCACAGGAAGGCCTGTGACCGCCTTCTTCCAGTATATCACCTCCGGCCTGCTCTTGGCATCCGCCCTCAGAAGTGATAAAAATGGGGCATGCTGGATGGGCTCAGTTCAGTGACCAGAGAAGGCAGGAAGCAGATTCCAGAAGCAGCATTCATGAGAAACCTGTGTGCCCTAGTAGAACGTGGTTCTGCCCCAGGGTTTGGAATGTAGGGATGTGAGACCAAGACTCCGATCCAGTGTACAAACTACCCATGAGTCTCTGATTGCTCTATCCTTCCTACCTTCCCCTTCTGGATTTGTTTGGTGGGTTG